ATATATATATATATATAGTTTGTTTGTTTTTTTTGAGAATGGGTCTCCCTCTAATGGAATTTGTTATGTAGCCAGGATGGCCTCGATCTCAAAGAGATCACCATCTGCCTCCACTTCCTGAAGACAAGCATCACCATGCTCAGCTCTAAAGTGCATTCTTTCAAGATGAAAGGGACATGTGTGCCCAATGTCCATTGACATCATCAAATTAGATTAAAAGACACTATGTTTTTCTGGTTTGGGCTGAGGTAGTCATTTGGAAGGTCCCAAGGACATTTTTGGATAAGGGGCCTATTTAATATATGAGCTAGAAGCTGGGCGTGTCATCACCTGTCTGTGTTCCCCTCTGTTTAGGGCTCTGCTACCTGGAAGGCCCAGGCTCCTTGACTATATGATGTGACACAAAGGAGAAATATGAACATCCACAAGCAGTTATGAAGATATAATTCAATACTTACTGAGCTTTTCAAGGTCTAGTCGCAAATTCTGGCACTCTCGAGTTTCATTCACCAGCCTCTCTTGGCTCTGAGACAGCCTCTTCTCTATCTCAAAGTACTGTTGTTCTATAAAAGACAAGCCTAAAAATGAGAAAAAGTCGAACACACACGCCCCCCCAGAAGCAGTATTCTTAATGTTGCTATTTATTTCTAATAATGTTGATTCTAAAACTTAAGACACAACATTGAAAAATCTAGCACAAATAAGTATACTAAGCACTGAAAAGGACTTTTCTAACACTTTCTACTGCCATATGAAAACAGAAAATTGTATGTAAGAGGGTCTTCAGAAGTGAATTTCTTCTAGGCAGGGAACAGGTCATATTTTAGTATTTTTTCCCAAACCTCAATATGCTGTCTAACATTTTTAAAAAAAGTACAGACTAAATGGAGAAAGTTGTTTAATTAGAAGCAGCTTTGTTTTAAAAGGTTTGACTGACAACATGATACCTACATTAAGATTGAAATTTCCCATCAATCTAGCAAAATACAGCACCAATTTCCTCAATCATTTGGTAAACCAAAACATGTAAAAGGAAATATTTTATAATAATATAAATTATAAGTGCCTACCACAAGAGAGCAGGTCTTAAAATATTTTCTGTCAAGCTCCAACTTTTTGAGAGAAATATATCAAACTTCTTTAGCACAAGTTCATTGCTTGTTCTTGTGCTGTCTTTTTCATCCAAATTAACATCTATTTCCTTACGGGACCACAAGTCGACACACACACTCAGAACAAGGCAGCAAAGCAGTCAAATAAGCAAAGACCTAAAAATCTAGGTGAGAATCTAAAACAGTGGAAAGCAGCATCATTTAAAGTGCAACAAAACAAGGTTTCTAAATTAAAGAACAGTCCTAAAAATCTAAAGTAATGGGAGTTGGAGAAATGGCTCAGTCATTAAGAGCACTGGCTGTTCTTGCTGAAGACCTGAGTTCAGTACTCATATGGCAGCTAACAACATCTCTAACTCCAGTTCCAGGGAATCCCACACCCTTTTCTGACCTCTGCGGGCACTGCACGACACAAGTACACTTACACACATGCAGGCATTATACTCATACACATAAAATAAAAATAATAAATAGGGGCTGGCGAGATGACTCAGAGGTTAAGAGCACTGACTGCTCTTCAGAGGACCCGGGTTTGATTCCCAGCACCCACATGGTGGCTACAAACCATCCTTAACTCCAGTTCCAGGGGAATCTGAAGCCCTCTTCTGACCTCCGCGGTACTGCATGACACAGGTGCACTCACATACATGCAGACAATACACTCATACACATAAAATAGAATAAATAAAATATTTAAAAATAAATAAATAAATAAATGGATCATCGGGGGGAGCTAGGGAAGCCAGAGGAAATGTGTTGCCTCTGAAACCTCCTGAGAAATATACATACAGTGCCTGAACATTAGTACATATGTATACCTGGGAGTTGTAAGGCAAGAAACACAGTGCCAGACATGAGGGACCTCCCTTCGAGTGGTTGGTCAGTGTGGTTCAAGACACTCCCAAAACAACACAGGTTATTGCCAGAGCGCTTGGTTATCTCCCAGAACTGGAAGACCAAGACCCTACTGCTAAAGACAGGACATGCTTCAAACACATGGCATGGAGCAACAGAGCAGGAACTGAACTGAAAGCCTTCTACCTTAAGTTTAGCTCTAATAGTTCTGGAGATATTATGCAAGCTGCTAAGAAAGAAAAGTGGCACTGTTATCTGGGGGATGACCAACAGCAACCTAACTGTACTTAAAGCTCTCTCAATGGGAGTGAACTCATGTGTGGCACTGTAAATACAGGCAAATACACATGGCTGGAAAGGACATAGATCCTAGAGAAAACCTTACCTTTGTCATAGCTCTAGACAAACGAAATTTCTTACCATATGCTAAATATAGATCCTTTGATTTACAGACAAGTATACCGTACACCACTTATTAAAGAAACTTTTTACAACAGATAGAGGAATTCCACAACTGGTCAGACACAGAGAATATGTCTGAGAGATGCCCAGTCCTAGACGACGTATCTACAGTGGAACCTCTATACCTAAGACTCATGGAACATAGTAGAATGGGGGGTGGGGGAGAAAACGAATGCATCCCTCAACTCTCACTAGTAAAGTTCCTTATACAAAAGATTGAGATGTACACAAAAGGCCACAACTGGCCAAGTTTTAAAGAATAAGAGACTGCAGCGAGTATCCTTGGATAGGACACCGATATTGAACCTCACCCACCCAAGGCTCAGGAACTATTATGGAAGAGGGGATGGAAAGATCATAAGAGCCAGGGCTGGTTCATGAACATAGGGTAAGAGGTTTTCAGGCCAGTGTAAGCTTCCACATATGAACTTGTGGCATCAAGCACAGAACCATGCCAACGCAATCAGACAAAAAGGCCCAGAGTAGAGCCAGGGAAACAGGTAGCCAGTTGGCCCTAGTCGGGGAACTACTGGAAACTGATTATACTTCATGAGGGAGAGTAAGCCTAACCAAAGATCTCCAGATAGGCTGACTATAGGCGTAGGTAGATGAATTTGCACCTAAGGGCATCTGGGTACAAATCCTTGACTGGACAGGACTTAACATGTATGGCTAAATACATGAGGTCCAGTAGAGGAGCATGGAGAGTGTGGATGGGGGACGAGGTCTAAATTTGATTAAGAACTGTTGTATGCAATGTACAAACGTTCAATAAATTAAAAAAAAATACAGTATTTTTTTAAAATCTGAGGCAGGCTAATGGACTCAAATTCTCCACAATTTCTCTCTATGGGACCAAGTTGTGTCCCTACATAAAATCAATGTAAATAAAAGGAAAACGGAATGAAAGTGGATTTCGATTGGGGATGAGGAGTGGCTCCTTTTCTCTCGCTGAGGAAAGAGACGGCCACACTGCTCTTGGGGACGGAGACCGAAGCTACCTGACAACATCGCAGAGGAGAGTTCAAGCGTGCAAGGACGACCAAGCCACAGCTGCGCGAGAACCAGGCGGGAAGCGCACATCACTCACCGCTCTCCACCTTAAACTTCTCGTGCCGCCCTTTCAGGCCATCGATCTCCGACTGTTGATCAGCCAGGAACTTCTCAAGTTTGTTCTGGGTAGACTTAGGCAGCTTGTTCAGCTCCGGCCGCTCCAGTACTTGCTGTAACACCGCCGCCATGTCTGCTGGGCCAGAGGCCGCGGCAGGAGCGGCCGAAGGGGTAGAAACGAAGGAGCAAGGCGAAGGCCAGCACTCTGGGGGGTGAGCCGGCGCCTCCGCAGCCTCGCTCGCTGGCTCCCGCGTGCCGGCCCGCCGGAGACTCCCGCGACGGTACCCTAGGGAAACAGCCCTGAATTTGTGAGACGATCTGCCGCGCTACAGCGCCCGAGTCCAATGCGCAGGCGCAGCCGCCGGAAGCTATGCACGCTGGGAATGCGAGTTCACCACGACCTTTGGCCCACTGTGCACTCCAATTTCCGGCTCCACCTGCTTCCAACCCCAAAGCCTCCTGGGAAAGGTAGTTCTTTTCACTCGCTTCCGCAAGCCCAGCCCCGCACCTCCGGTTCCGCTTCCTTCGTCCCGGCCCCCTGTATATCCTTGTTCCGCTGTGTGACGAGTGTCCGTGTGGTGGCGCCACACACGCGCTCCTCAGCCCACGTCCCTTTTTCAGATGATGAGCGACCTTACCTTCCAAGCCCCGGGATGCCATGGGTCGTCCTCTGTGGCGGCTTCAGGAAACCAAACCACCATGAGTCCCTGCTGGTTAGCAGACAACTGCGTCTCGCCACACTCTCAATGGTTCCCGGAAAGGGGCGGAGTGCAGGCCGCACTTGCTTGGGCAGAAATGCTGAGGTGAAGGGAACGGGACAGCACGCGTCATCAATATGCGCCCATTGACGCCTGACATCCGTGTTTGGAGTGGGAAGTGAAGGGTTAAGACTCAGGTCGCTTTCTGGTGAGTTCTTTGGAAGCGAGAATTGAGTGGCATCTGACGCCTCGAAACTGCTACTTGTACCCCACCATCACCCTCGCTCCCGTTCTTTTGAAGATTCGAGAGATTTGCCACGTGTGCAGGTGAGTCGGCCTACAGGTGAGTGTGCACTCCTGCATCGACAGCTTCCTTTTCAAGGGGAAAGAAGAAAAGATACAATGTAGGAAACATATGGAAAGACTGTCTGGGGCACACTCATGTCCAGTTCTGAGTGGTTCAGCCTGGAACTACATGCCTTGGGGGATGGAAGGGACTGAGGGATTCAACGGGAATGAAGAGTTAATTTTGGGAAGACAATACAAAGAAACCAAAATGACTTTACATGTAGTTATGTGTAAGGTAATATTGCAGAAAAAAGCCTGATGTTGATGATTTTCTGAAAAATAGTTTTAAAAACGCATTATCGAGAAGCTTGTCACCTCGCCGCCGTACCAGAACTCTATGTTTCCAGATTATGATTCTGAAGTCTGGAGTTTGTTTCATGTTTAACTACTTGAAAACATCGTTAAGTCTTGGTTAAAAATAAGAGATAGCCTATGTCTGTAATCTCAGCAACTGGGAGTATGCGGCAGGAGGCTTGCAATTCAGTGAGCCTTAATACATAGCAAAACCTTAAACCATGCTTCAATGATGGGGGACGGGTAATTAAGTCAGTAGAGGTACTAGTTTCCACTCGCAAATTGGAGAGGGAGAAACTGAGAAAATAGGAATGATCCTTCCCAGTGACGTAATTGAAGGACTGAGTGTACATCCTCAGTATGAGCAAAATATTTAAAAGAGTGGATTCTAGAGCGAGACTACCAGAATTTAAATCCCACCTTTCCCACTCACCAGCTTTGTCATTTGATGAGTTAACACTTCTTTCAGATTCTTTATGTATAAAATGGAGATTGCAATGAAAGTAACTACCCTGGGGCTGGATAGATGGCTCAGCAGTTAAGAGCACTGACTGCTCTTGCAGAGAACCCGAATTTGATTCTCAGCACCCACATGGCGACTATGAACCTTACTTAACTCCAGTTCCAGGGGAATCCGAAGCCTTCTTATTAACTGTTAATACGTGGAAAGTGCTTGGGAATAATGCCCTGCATAAAATAGAAGCTATGTAGATAGTTGTCCTTATTACATTACTATTTATCTACTAAAATAGCTAATATTATGAGTATCTCAAGAACAGATGTCATGTTTTTCACTTTGGGCTTTCCCACTTGACACAGGTTACAGAAAATAGTAATTTAGAGTATATACTTACTGAGTAAAGAAATTTAAGTCTCCCTACCTCTGAAAGAAACTAGTCATATTTTAAAATGAGAACATGGAAGTTCACAAATAAATTTTCAAAGAGAGTGCAACTGAGTAGATGTACAATAGGAGCCCACTAATAGTTCAGTAACCTTCCCTTAATCCAAGTATGAGAAGTGGTTTTGATCACTTACGTAAAGTCTGGTTGTTGGCAGTTGTGACTTTTTTTTTCTGGTTATTGATTTGCTTTATTTTTTAAAAAATTTTAATTATTTTTAGTTTTATCTGTATATTGCCTGAATGTTTGTAAGTGCACCCATGTCATGCAATGCCCAAGGAGGTCAGAAGAGAGGACATCTGATCCCATGTAACTAGAGCTACAGATGGCTGTTAGCCTCTGTGTGGGTGCTGGGAATCGAACCTGGGTCCTCTGCAAGAGCAGCTAGTGCTCTTAACTGCTGAGCCATCTCTCCAGCCCCTGTTTTTGTATTTTTTGAGATGGGGGTCTCACTATGTAGCACAGGTTTCCCTGGAACTCACATGTAGCCTTGGCTGGCCACCAACTTATGACATTACTCCTGCTTCAGCCTCCTCTAACTGGGAATCGTTGTTGTTGTTTCAAAATTAAATTAAAAAAAAATCTGTGTGTCTGTGTATGCCACATATGTGCAGGTACCCACAGAAGCCAGATAAGGGCACCGGATTCCATGGAGCTGGATTATAGGCGGTTTTAAGCCACTGGGCATGGGTCCTGGGAACTGAAGTCCTCTGGAAGAGCAGCAAGCACTCTTAACCACTGAGCCATCTATCCAGCCCCCTGGGAGTCATTTCTTATAGCACTGAGTTAAGAATTCTGAGGCTACATTTCAACTTTGTGAGAAAAAAATGCCCTGTTAAAACACATACACACACATACACACATACACACACACACACACACACACACACAACACAAAACCCCCAAACACTGCAAGGCATGAGGCAGTTGTCAGAATAGTGCCACTTTCTTGCTCTATCATCCCCATGCTAAAATATTGAAAATTACATTTTGATTCAAAACAGTAATTTTTATTTCTTGTAATTTAGGTGACTGAATTGGCTCTCAATAATGGGAAGAACCTACATTGTAGAAGAGACTGTTGGCCAGTATCTTTCAAACATCAATCTGCAGGGAAGAGTTTTTGTCTCTGGCCTTTTGATAGGACAGGTATGTGGATGTCTTTTACTCATTGGTAAAATAAATTACCTGTTTATTCAAGTTAAGTGTTAGTCAACAGTAAATTTGAGGTTGGAATATGGACAGACACAAATCTGAAGAAGGAAATCTACAGTGGATCTTTGAGGTAACATTTGGAAAAGTGGGAAACCTGGCCCAGGTTTGACTGAGTCTCAGCATACTCCCTTTTGATCTGTGAAATTAACTTATAATGTAGAAACTTGAAATTTTGAATCTTCACTGACCAGATTATTGGCATTTTGTTCTCTTTCTAAAAGTATTTTGGGATGAGGACATAGCTCAGTTGGTAGAGTGCCTGCCCAGCATACATATAGAGCCCTACATTTCATCCCCAGTGTTGCCAGTGGGTGGTTAGGATGGCCAGGGTTGGGATCAGGTGTGTCTAAGTTCTTGACCTCTTATCCAAGGAATTGGAAGTAAGGACTCACACAGATTTGCAGGTAGCAAAATAACTTTATTAGAAGCAAAGTGAAGGTACAGATTAAAGTGGGGTACACTGCCAAGATTGACAGCAAGCCACATAAGTGACAGTCCTAGGGCCCTGATTATTGTTTGGGGCTTCTTTTTATGGAGTTTAAGAGAAGGAGATGCTGGTTACTAAGGGATATATCTTAATTTAATTTAACTTAATGCATAGGCATAATATGGTGACTAGGGGATTTTCCCTGAAAGTTCACTTGAAGGACACAGTTTGCTTTACTGCACACGCACCAAAAACCAGTTCAGGCCAGATCCGCATTTCTGTTTTTCTACCAAGTTACATTGGGAATACACTTGAATAGACACTGTCTAAGTTTAATTGCTGCTAAAGGCGGAGAAAGCTGCATAATTGTTTATCAGTGGAGTACTGTGTAGCTCTGTCCAGGTGAGGGCTCCAGGGAGTTCTGAGGTACATTGTTTGGGAGGAGTGTTTGTGTGTAGTACCAGCAAGTGAAGGATTAGGCTGCCTCTGCCTGCCTGTCTCTTCCAGTCCCACTCAAACCAGGCTTCTTGGCTCATGCCTACAATCCTAGCACCTCAGAGGTTGTGGGAGACAGGCTTGAGCCTAGGGTGAAAGTCTTATTGACAGTCATACAGCAGGCCTAAGGCAATGGCCCAACCACTGGAGCCACAAGGAACGCCTTGTGACATTTGCTCCCACTGGCAGATCATGAGACTGATGCCTAGAGCTTGCCACTCCCTAATTACCACCCTTGAGATCCCAAATCGTAACACTTAGACAGCCCGGGTCACGTGATTCCCAGGAAACCAGGCCCCATAAGGAAACCTGAACCTAAGTAACCTAAAACCCATTATGCTAATGAGGTGTGTGGCTCGCGATGTCATGATAGGACACAGCTCTGCCAAAGATCTGAGTTGTAACTTCTTGATTGGACCCCTACCCCTATATAAGCTTGTGCCCTTCTTTAATAAACCGTATCTGCGTCAATGAACCTGGCCTCCTGTGTCTGAATGTGGCTCCGCTGACATAGTCTCACCAGCCCTGAGGTCCAGACCGGGCAGAAGTAGCGACAATTGGAGGTAGCGCCGGGCGAGCAGAAGAGCAGCCCTAGCACTGGGAGAGCAGAAGAGCTGCCTCAGCCCCGAGTGAGCAGAAGAAGGGCCACAGCTTGTGGCGGCAGTGAGGAGCAAAGGGCGGTGCTTGTGCGATCGGAGGTGGCACCCTGTGATCAGCACCATGCGAAAGGAGAGCGGCCACAGACGGCGCTGTGTGAGCTGCTCGGAGACAGCACCCAGCACTGGAAGAGTGGAGGGGTGGCCGCAGCTGGCGGCGGCCACAGGTGAAGGCAGAAAGATCAGAAGTTCAGGATTATCCTTGATATTTATGTGATTCAGATAAAAATACTAAATTTTGGTGGGGGGATTTGAAATGTTTTGTACTCTATTGCTTTTCCAATTTTTTAGGAAAGAAGTTTTTAACTCTTTTATTCCCACTTCAGTGTATCTTTTATTTTGTATTTCTAGCAGTAATGATCATATTTTTGTTCCATGCTGTAATACCTATCTTAATTAACTTTTTAAAACGGTTCAATAGAAAATTAGGGAAAGGGATTTTAGGAAATTTGGAAATTAGATTGTAGGAATGACTTATATTGTAGACTAATTACTGTTACCTAAGCTTGCAGCTAAATGTTATAAGGGAAACAAACTCACTGAGCCATGTGTTCCTCTTTTGATCTGGGTACATAACCTTTTGCCCTCCACCCAAGATAGTGAGTGTGGGTTTGTTTAACATATCAAAGCTGCTGAAAAATTTGAATTCTTATTGAAAGTGCCTATTCTCATTGAAAGCAATGAGAATAATTGAGAAGTCTGCTTGATACTGTGTGTATGAGATATTTTAGGCCTAGGGCTCAAAGGGCAAGATTCTCTGATAAGATAAACATGGATCCTAGCTTCTACTTCCCAAATTAGTTGCTGGAAAGACTGCTTCATAAAAGTATGAGTGAAGCCAATCTGGAGAGCACAGTTCCAGTTCTGAGAGACATCTTAAAGAATGTGTGCCTCAGAGTTCTGGTCCACTATTGACCTTAAATGCTGAGTCAGGCCCTTTCTTTAATCAAGTATAACTGTAATGTGACTTAGTAATGGCACATTAGACAATTTTATTTTCTGTATTATTAAACCTGAAAATCAACACAGAGTGGAAGGGAGACTTGGGCACACACTTTGCAAGCAATAAATAATGGACCTTTAATTGATGAAAGAATACACTATTTAATTATCAAAATGGAGTGGTCAGCAACACAACAGAAAAGTAAAACAGAAGGTACACAGGCAAACTGACTATCTTTCTACCCAAACACCAGAAGGGCCCAAGTACATGTTATTGAGGCATACTAGTAAAGAAAGCTCTTACTGTGAATGTCTTCTTCCTGCCTGCCTTAGTCTGATACCTTAAAACCTTCAGATTTTATCAACTTTCCTCTTTTGAATCTGTTCACATTTGTAAGCTTTGATACTTTACATTCATTACCTATTTATATTATACCTGACTCAAGACATGGTTTTGTGCTATAGTGCTTGCTTAGCATGTGTAAGACCCCAGGGCCATAAATAAATAAGCAGATAAATAACTTAATAAATTTAAAGTTAGAAAAAAAAAGCATACTGTCAAAAGGACTGTATTGAGACCCTTGATAACATTCAGAATTTCTGTAGCATTCTGCATGAGCTCAGTTAAGGTCTGTTTAGCATTAATAGACAGATTCATTTTCAGAGTTTTCAAAACTCTTTTTGAAAGACAAAGGGTATATTTATACTGTTGACCCAGTAAAAAGAATGACCCAAACTTCTTTTTGAAAGATTTACTTAGTGTTTAATATAGGAGTATTTTTTGTTAGCTTTTAACTTAAGGTTTTATACTTCTTTTTAAAGTTTTAAGAGAAAAGCCTTAGAGAAAGATTTAATCAGAGATAAAATACCGAGGTGAAAGGCCCTCTCCCCTGTTTGTCTCACTGGATATAGGCTATTTCTAGAACTTAGGAAAACTGCCATGTTGCAAACAAAAGGTTTGATTTACTCTGTCTTCATGCTGTCTTCATTTAGTTTATTTGAAGTAGGGTCTCACTGTATCCCCAGACTATCCTGGAAGCCACTGCATAGCTCGTGCTGGCCTTGAACTTACCATTCACACTACAGATGTGAGCCACCATATCCAAATCTGTACTGTCCTTATTTCTTCTAGTTTTGTACATTCTTTTCTTCTTGATTCTAGAGCTCACTTTTGTCCTCTTCCTCTTAAACTTGCTTGTTTCCTACAGCTTCCTTTCTTTTCAAAGTTCAACATCTTAGATGTTGAAGAGGAACTCTCTATGCTAGATATGATGGCTCAAGGCTGTCATCCCTGTACTTGGAAGCAGGGGGCTGGGAAGGATGAGGACTTCATGGCCAGCCCTGGATTCATAATGAGTTTGAGGAGAGCCTGGGATGGAGGTGGGAACCTCTTTTTTTAAAAAAAAGATTTATTTTTATTTTTAAAGATTTATTTTTATGTTTTAAAATTATGTGCATATGTGTTTTTTTGGTGGGTATTCTGTGCACATGTAAGTGCAGGCACATGAAGAGGCCAGAAGTGTCATATCCCCATGGAACTGGAGTCACAGGCACTCATAAGCCAATATGGGTGCTGGCACCTGAACTCAGGTCCTCTGTGAGAACTGTAAGCACTCTTAACCACTGATCTGTCTGTCCAGCTGGAGAGATACCTCTTTAATCAAGATGTGCTTTTTTTTCCTGTATACATTTGAAAGTAATTTCCTGGAAATAATTTTGTAAAACTAGTCTTCCATTATATTCTACTCCAAGGTGATGCTAATGATTATTACAGCATTTCAAGTCATATTTGGAGATGACAGCATGCTAAGATAATCAGTCTCATCAACTAACGCAGGAAGCTTGATGTAGTGAAACCGAGCTGTCTACTAGTCCCTAAATTTATCTTTAGATCTTTACTTTTGGTTACCTTTAACTGCTATTAAAATTGAAAAGCACAGAATATGAATCTCTACTGTTCTGTATGTACTTCTGAGTAAGTCCTTTACTATTATCATTCCAACCAAAGTATAATAAACTAGGTCATTTGTCCTTTTATTGAGATTTTATATTTGTTAAATGTCTAATTCATTTAAATGACATAAAATATAAACATAATAATTAGAATACTAAGTATATTGCATTTTAGTTTATTTCATGTATACATTCAATAATTTATTTAATTTTATTTTTTGAGGCAAGTTTTTATATAGCCCTGGCTGACCTAGAACCCTTTGTTGCCCAGGATGATCTCCTGATCCTCCTACTTCCACTTCCTGAATATTGGGGTTACAGGTGTGTGCTGTCATACCTGGTTTATGTGCTGGGAATTGATCTGAGGGCCTTGTGCATGCTTGGCAATCACTGAACAAACTGAGCTATATCCACAGCTCTCAGCCATTTTTAACAGATTCTATGTGATTTACATTCTGGATGTCCAAGTAAATAGTAAGTTGATATTAAATGCAAAAAAAATAAACAGTCTATGAGAGCTGTTCCTTAAATATTAGTTTCCATGAAGATACTGTCCATATAAATATGAGTATTAACAATTTAACTTAATATTACTCAGTGTTTGTGTGTCATAAGATCTAAGAGATCTAATCTTTATTCAGATATAACTCTAATAAGATTTTACAATTTGTTTTAAAGTGTTCTTCACAAAAGGATTACGTGATTCTTGCCACTAGAACACCACTCAAAGAAGAACAAAATGAGAATCCCAAAGCTAAATTAGAGAGTTTGGATGAAGAATGGGCCACAGAGCATGCCAGTCAGGTAAGACTATCTCTTTATAGAGTTGTTTGTATTTGGTTGATAAACAAACAAAAAAAAAACTTTGTTCTCAGGTTACTAGAGTTGAATGTCAGATTGTCATTTCTTAAATACTGCCAGTAGTTGTATTCAAAACAGTCTAACAGAGGCTCTAAATTTGAAGGAGGAATAGAACTTTATTAATTGAAGAAGTCAGAGAACACATCAAATACATCAAGGACAGGAATATGTGTATAATTGACACAAACACAAACCCCAAAACTAACAGATATGCTAGGAAAATACCAAAGTTGGGGAGAGCATACAGAGCATGCAGTAGAATTAATTAAATACAAGGCTCAATTATAGATGACTTTTGAATGCAACATAAAGAGTATGTTTGGTAGGCAAAAGCCCAGTGACGGGAGAAGAACAGTTTTCTTTAAAGGTGTGTCCCCTGGTAGATAACCATGCTCCAGTGGATGGCCCCATACCATGAATATAAGCACAACACAAGTTGGACTCAGTGGGTTATTGAAAGAAAAGACAAAAAAGAGAGAAAGAAAAAAGATATGAAATTGGTGTTGGCTAGAGAGGTGGTGACTGGGTCTGGGAGAAGTCCTGGGGAGGCATGGGAGGAGGTGAATATGATCAAAATGCATTGTATGAAATTCTCAGAGAATTAATAGAAATACCTTTTTTTTTTGTCTTTTTTTGAGACAGGGTCTCCTTGTAGCCCCAGCTGTCCTGGAACTCACTACTAGACCAAGCTGGCCTCAAACTCACAAAGATCGCCTGCCTCTGCCTCCCAAGTGCTGGGATTAAAGGCGTGTGCCACCACGCCCAGCCAAAATACCATATTTTTTAATAACCCTGTGGTGGACTTTTAGAGCTCCTTAGTTTGAAAAGACGTTAATGTGATTGATTTGCCAGTAATTTATGACATTGATATTGGCACAGTGTAGAGACTAAGGTAGAATAAAAAAATGTATAATTATAGCAATAGTTTAAAAAAAAAAGTGAGCCTAAACTAGATTCTGAGCTTTGTGAAGGCACGAGTTAACATTTGTTTTATTTAGGGCTGTAATGTGAGACCCTAGCACAGTAGTTCCAATGTTTATAATTTGAGCTGTAAGAAATTAGTAGAAGAATACATGGCTAAATTGGCTATAACTTGATTAACAAATGATTTCAGAGAAAGAGCTAGAATCAAGCAAATTTAGTGACCAAGTGGATTGGTAATAAAGAGCTATAGAAGAAAGAATAGCCTGAGATGTCAATTCTTGCCATGGACAAGACAGTGTTGCTGTTTTGAGAGGGAAGTGGATGAAGACTTGCTCTAAGAGAATAAAGAATATGCTAATTTTATTCAAAAGTATGTACTGAACAAGTTGTTGCATCTAAAGAATAATAAATGATAAAGAATATTACACTAAGATAAAAGTAGAATTAATGTATTTCCTTTTCTAATTTAAATCTTTTAAAATACATAAATGTGTATATTTGTGATGAGAGAGTAATATGTAATTACAAAAAACAAATCCAGGAAACATACTGTTACCATCTAAAGAAAATATTAAATATTTAAATTTTATTTCCCATAGATATATAACTTCTCATTCTAATTTTGCTTTTACTTTCCTATAATTTTCTTTTTGTGTGTGTTTGTATAGTTTGCATGCATAGATGTATGTATGTGTGTTTGCATATGTGGGACACCTATAATGTGGTATGTATTTGCACATGTGCACATGTGGAGGCCCATGGTTCATATCAGGAATCTTCCTCATCCACTCTTCCATCTTACCTTTTGAGGCAGGATCTCTCGGTCAAACCCAGAGCTCTCTAAAACAGCTAGTCTTGTTAGCCAGCTTTCTCTAAAACTCCATGTCATCACCATCTGCTCATGGCTAGAATTCCAGGCCATGCCCACCTAGCATTTATGTGGGGTTTGAAGACTCAAGCTCCAGTCTTCTTGCTTGTGCAGCAAGGTCTTCAACCCCTGACCCATCTCCCCAGCTCAGTTTTTCTGTAAAATTATATATGATCTATATACAAATACATGCAAAGAGAGTATTTTGAATTTATAATACTAAATTAGATTAACCTTTTTCTGTCTAGGAAGAAATAGTTAATTTTGTGTTAATGTCTAGAAGTTATATCGGTTCCCCCATGCTACATGTGAAAACTTCATCACATTTGTCATACTGATTAAGTGGAATTTATGAAATCAGAGGAACCATGAGCCGACATAACGCAGATAAAATAGAAATTTGACCGTGATGTCTAGTTTTTTAAGATTTAACCTAGTGATTATTTGCTTGTAAGTGTAGGAAAGGTAGCCAGAATACTCTCATCACTGAACTTAGCTGACAGAAAAACCCATGTTATGTTAAGAATAAGCCACAGTTGTGTTAAGGGGAAACATAGAGGACAAACTGGTATGAACATATATTACAGGAGGTGTGATCATACATTGAATCCTATGGAAGTTCAGAGCAGCTTCCTCAGGTTGACTTTGAAATACCTAACTGAATTCAGACATGGGGAAGTATAAGAGAAAGTCAGTTTAGGCTAAGGAAACAGCTTGAGGAAAGGCGTACAGTTAGAAATATTTCAGAGGAAACAGATCAGAGGAATCTCTGAACATCAGATTGACCAGATTCTGGGAAGATAGAGTGCTTATCTTACTTTGCAGATAATTGGGAAGCCATTGAGAGATTTCAGAAGCTAATCTTCCAGATTTTAGGAGAAAGGTGTTTATATATTGATACAGCTAAAAGATGTTATCAAATGGTTTCATACGTAATTTTAAGATGTAATGTTGGCGTGTTCAAGGAAGATTATATACGTTAAAAGCACCCAATTCAACTTGGTTGTTGTTACTATTATTATTTGAGACACGATCTCATTGTGTAGCTCTGGCTAGCTTGGAACTGGCTATGTAGATCAGACCAGCCTTGAACTCACAGAGATCTGCCTGCCTCTGCCTCCTGGGTTCTGGGAGTGAAGGCGTGTGCCACTGTGCCTGGAATTTCTCATTATGTTAGCAGGTTTTTCAGTTGCCTCTACCTTCATTCTGTGTGTATAGTTGGGCTTGGATAAATGTTTTCTGGTTTAATACTTACTATGCCAAATAGAAAGGACTGACATATTAATGATAGCTAATATACATTTTTTATTTTTAGGTGTCTAGAATGCTACCTGGAGGTCTTTTAGTTCTTGGAATATTTATTATTACAACTTTAGAACTAGCAAATGATTTTCAACATGCCCTGCGCAGAGTAAGTCTGACATATCAGAAAGTCTTAATAAGATCAAGGGTTTTTTTTACACAGTATTTTAATTATATGCATGTACATTGATCTTAAGTGTATTTGATTAGTGTTCCATAATCTTTATGTTAGAATTATGTTGAACTAATTTTTCCTTTGTATTTGCTTGCAAATCTTGTATGCAATAAATGTAAGTATACTTTCAGTCAAAGCTACATAGTTTCAAATAATTTCAAAGTCTATTTGTTATTATTATATGTGTATGTATGATGGTTCAGGTGGGATACAGGTACCATAATGTACGATGTGAGGAGGTCCAAGGACAACTCTGTAGAATCAGTCTTCTCCTTCTACCTTTACTTGGCTTCCAGGGATTGAACTCAGGTTGTCAGACTTGCAAGGCAAGCTTCTACCTGGTGAGCCACCTCGTGATTTTTGTAAAACATGATTTCATAATGTTATAAAACAAGTCATATTATTTTAACAGTTTTTCTTGTGCAATGGCAGTTTTCTGTTAGATCCTCCACTTAGTATGCAGTGATTGCAATAATATGAAATTATGCAGTTCACTTCTTCAAGATCTTGAGATTAAAATATAAACAATAATCACATGTTCTTTATTCCTAGACAGAGTGTATATCCTCCATCTCTTGTATTTTTTGTTTGTTTTACTATATCAGGAAATCCAGTAGTGTAATCTAAAAATAAATATTAAAGTCCCAAGCTTAAAGCCAACTCTTCAGGAAACTTTCATCTCCTTCAGTACTCTCAATCCACATGAGCTTTCCCAAGAGTATTTCACACTGAGAAAGGGGTGGCCGTAAACCATTGAGAAGTGCAGAACAGGGATAAGGGTGTCAGTAAAAAAGATGTGCAGCTTAGAAACACAAATCCACTTTGGTAACCTTTCCTTGCAGATAGCCTACTCTCGTGTCTTTGATATTTTGTGCCCAGAACATTAAGAAAGAAATGGATGTATTCCCTACCCTGACAAGTTTTTCAATCTTCTATACTCTGCCATTTTAAGTAAATTTCCCTCTTCCACTCTTGTTCATTATTCATGGCAGTTGAAATAAAATCTGCGTGAGTGCTGGCTAATTTTAACTGTCAACAACCAGCACTTACTTAAGAAGAAAGTCTTAATGAGGAATTATCCAAATTGGGTTGGCCTGTGGGCATGTCTGTGGAGTTATCTCATTCATTGATGTAGGAAGACACAGCCTATTGTTGCAGCACTGTGGCTTAGGCAGAGCTCCTGACCAGTGTAAGGGAAAAGAAAGGCAGCTGAGAGCAGCAAGCAAGCGAGCATAGGTGTACTCTCTGCTAGGCACTGTGGATCTGATGTGGCTAGCTGCTTGATTTCCTGCCTTAACTTTCCTGGAATGGTGGACTGTGACCTAGAATTATAGTCCAAATAAACCCTCTCCTCAAAATTGCTTTTTGTCATAATATTTTTTAATGTCTTATTTTAATTTTATTTTATGTGTATGAGTGCATTTCTTGCATGCATGTAAGTACACCTATGTTGTTCAATGACAGCGGAAGTCAGAAGAGGGTATCAGATCCCCTGAAACTGGAGTTACAAGTGGTTGTTAGCTGCCATGTGGGTGCTGAGAATCGAACTTGGGTCCTCTGCAAAAGCAGAGCTCTTAACCACAGAGCCATCTCACGAGCTCTGTCATAATATTTTAATCACAGCTCAGAAATGAACCTAGAACTGCATTTAATAACCTTGCTTGTGCATCCTGTTGTGGTTGGTGCTGAATTCAGTAGAGTAAATGTTGATTTAGTGCTAGACACAGTCAGGTCTTTATTCCTTTTGCTTTGGTTTCTTGTTTCTAAGATCATGAGTCTTAAGAAATTCTGTATCTCAGTCAGACGTGGTGGTTGGTAGACGACTATAAGCACAGAGATTAGGAGGCTGAGATAAGAGTTTGGTGAGTTCACAGCCAGCACTGTGGCCATAATGAGCCCTGCCTCAAAATAAAAATCGAAAAAAATGCTAAAGCTTGAGAAACTCTGTAAGAAATATTTTTATTAAATTTATTATATCTTCCATAAGATTTATTAAGAATTTTGGTCATTATATATTATTTTTCTGGGAGAAATTTATTTTACTATTATAAGGAAAATTATGCTTCTTCTGATCTGTTGCTTTTGAGTTTATGAACCATGTGAAATAGGCAATAGACTTACCTCTACACATTATTGTAGGAAAGTTTAGAAACACATTCATGACCCTCTATTCCCATTACTAAGTTTTATGTTTTATAATGCTTATTTCTAACAAAAATTTAGATCATTATTCTGATTTTTTTTTTACTTTTTATTGCTGTAATTTTGTGTTCTTACATATTTTCAACTTTTGTGATATTTAACTAAAAATTGCTTAATGAGCAACGTGCCCGTTTTTTGTAGTTAAAAAAAAAAATCAGCTGGGTGTGGTGGCATGCGCCTTTAATCTGAGGTAGAAGCAGGCAGATCTCTGTGAGTTCAAGGCCAGCCTGATCTACATGGTGAGTTCCAGGACAGCTGGGGCTACAGGGAAACTCTGTCTCAAAAAGACCAAAAAAAAAAAATCACTTGTTGAGGCTGGAGAGATGACTCAGTGGTTAAGAGCACTTACTGTTCTAAACGGGGGACCTAGGTTCAGTTCCCAGCTTAAAACTACTTAAAACTCCAGTTTCTGGGGATCAGATGCCCTCTGGCCTCTTTTGGCACCTGCACACAAATGGTGCACATAAACTCATACAGACATATGCATAACTCATAACACATATGCATAAATTTTTTAAAATCTTTTAAAAATTTCTTGTTATTTCTTATAAGAAAAATAGTGTTTATATTCTGTATTTCATGTAAATCCTAGTTACCCAAAATTAATAATGTCAGTTAATAATTGATGACAGGAAATTATGTTTCTCTACTTAAAACACAATTTTTATGTAAACCCTTTAAAATGAAAAACAAATGATTTATGTCATGATATATTCCACGGATTTCTGAAGCTTAGGAATGGTATTTGCCTTTCTTTATGTTTGTTTTTCATTTTTCATTGAATTAACATGTATTCTTACTTCTCAGTTAATATTTTCCATGGAAAAGTCTATGAATAGAAAACGACTCTGGAATTTCACAGAGGAAGAGGTCTCAGAACGAGTGATACTTCATGTTTGCTCTTCTACGAAAAAGTATCTTTTATTTCTGTGTTTCTAGTTAGTGTGTGGTCCCGACTGGCAGTCCCCATGCCACTGCCCAGCCGACTGCACCTGCAGTGCACCCAGTAAACCTGTTCTTCCCCTCCTCCCCACAAATCAGTGGTACCAAAATAATGTTCCTACAGTTTTTTTCCTTAAATATTTTTCATCCTTTTGAAAAAAGACTTTGTTTATTAAGTTTTCCTATAAATAACACATAGTTATGATTAGGGTTACCAATAATGATACTAATAGTAATAATGGTTGTTAATCATGTGCCAGGTTCTAGAGTTTGGAAGAGGAAGCAAGGACTCAGGATTCTAATTCTTTGTCAGCTCTCCTTTTATATCTAAGCACACTAGGTCCTTCTTAGAGATAAATGCCTACAGAATACTTAAAGATGTTTTTGCCATGCCATGTTTAACCTCCATTTCTTAAAGAAAAGTGTGCAGTTCTAACACCCACTCACTGAGCTGGACAGTACAGAAATCCTTATGCCTTTAGCCAGTATCAGTAGTGGTATTAAAAGTCACATGCAGGGCCTCCTTAGAGTTTCTCCTCTGTAACTCACCAGCACATAGAGTCACGAAAGGAGAAACACCGTCCAAAGGTCCACTAAATTAGGACTGGGAGAAGAACAAAAAACAAACAAACAAACAAACAAAAATTCACCATGTAGAAGATGATTGTTTAACATATTTGGCATTTAACTTGGAAATATCACATTAGAACTCCTTTGACCCAACAAACATTAATGGATTTGATTCCATCCAAAATAACACCCTTTTTATTAAGCAAAATGTGTTTGAGGAAAAATTCATAATGCTTCTGTTCTATTTCTTATGATTAACAATGTTTATAAACAGAAGGAAATTTGTTTTTTATTTTTTTCCAAGCACCATAATTACTATAGTCAGCAATTCATTGCATACACCATGCTTACAGAAACATTTACATTAACACATGCCTGTACCTCTGTGAATGCTTTAGGTGTATGAAGTATTATGGTTTGTGAGAACGCTTGAATGTAAATTTTTAGTTTGGGAATATATTTTATTAATTATCAAGAATTCCTTTTGGTCATTTATATCCTTAATTAGTCAAGAGTATCTTGTCGAACTTATGATGTCCGTGACCCAAAGGTAAGAAAAATTGTTCTTTAGAATTTTTTTCCGTTTTGCCAACTGCTTTTTTAAATTAAAATTTTATCTTTGTATTTAGTTTTGATAATTGTCAATGCCATTACTTCTTTTCAATGTAAATGACCACTTATAGTTTTTAATTAGAAAAATAATTTCATTAGTCAAGGAAAAAAAATTTTAGTTGTTAGTGTTGAGAAGCTGGTATAAAAGTGACTGAGGACTTCTTGAAGCTGCAGTGCCTAGTCACTAAACTTTTTGTGCAGAACTCAGACCAGCATTTGCCTAAATAGCAATGCAAAAAATAATTTAGCAGAATAGGTGGCACAGCTATCCTGACTCTGAGTGGTTACTCAGTGGTTATTTGCTACAGATCAAAACCTTTAGATTTGACTGTTGAGGCTATGGGTAAAAGCTGTGTGTCTAGAGGACATTTTAAAATTATTACTAGAGAACTTTCTGTTCCTTTTTCTACCTAGCCTCTGGGGGTTGCTAAAGTTGCCCAGGATATAGGAAAGAGTACTGAAATTAATGCTTGATTCACTTTTTAACTTCTATTTCTCTTTTGTTAGAAAGTTTGGTCAATTGTCCAGGATGTTAGCATGCTTGAGTTCTAAGTTGTACATTTGATGTTTTTTTACCTAAACCATGTCTTTTTTGTTTTTTGTTTTTTTTTCCCCACCTTTTGTCTTGCTAAAGAGTTCAGCGAGACCGGCAGATTGGAAGTATCAGAATTGGGTGTCCACCTCCTGGCTCTCTCTAGAGTGCACTGTTCACATTAACATTCACATCCCACTTTCTACTACTTCTGTCAGTTACACTCTGGAGAAGAACACAAAGGTATCTTGTAAAATGAATTTCTTCAGTGATTGCTGAGTCATCTCTGCTGTTATTCCAGTTGTAACAGTTATTGTACTCTGCTTAAAACGATTGCTGTTCTCTGGGTAATACACTTGATACTCGAACTGGATTAGGAATTTTTTGAGGTTAAATGTATCATAAGGCTAGTATATTTATCATGCATGGCAGGTATTTAACAGATATTAATTAACATATGCAAAGTGTAATTACATAAAAACCTCTATAAAAGCCTTGATCCTGAATATTTTCTTTTTCCAGTCCTTTGTATTTCCTCATCATTTTGTTATTTGTATCTTCATTTTGCTTCTTTTTTCCACATTGAAGAAGGCAATCAGCACTAGTTTATCTTTTCCTCTTTAATGGTACTTTATGTTATTTGGGACACATTTTCTCCATTTTGAGCACTATTGAATTTATTTTTATGGTCATATAGGTAATAAGACTGGAGCTTGTGATATAAATTTTAGGACAAGACCTATAGTTATTATTAAATATGGATAAGGTACTAAAAGATTAGGATTTTTTTTCTCTTCTTTTTTTTTTTTAAGTTACTGGATTTAAACACTGCATTACTGACACTTAGAGATTTTCAAGATTTCAGCATACTAGGTGGAAAACGGTAGAATCTAGAGTTTTATTAAGATGACATTGCATATGAAAGATTTCCATTTTTGTTTTTTAAGAATGGACTTACACGCTGGGCCAAGCAAATAGAAAATGGTGTTTATCTGATCAATCGACAAGTTAAAGATGAAGATTCTGACCTACTAGAAGGACAGGTGAGTTAAGAGAAAATTGTCTTATTTATAAAATAATTTACTAATGAAAAATAGATTTGTCTTTAGTCCTATCTTCATTAAAACAAGTTTCACCTGCTCATTTGTGAGGTCTTTTTAAGGAAAGGGGAAGTGTTTTTCTCAGAAAATGTTGGGAAGATGTTATTTCTCATATAATCGAGATCCTGAAACTTGTGCTTTGGAATGTCATATAATTCTATTAATCTCCAAATTGTAAAATGCTTACGTGATTCCCCCCCCTGCCCCCAACCCCTTTAAAGTAGGGATCTGCATGTAAAAAGCCAAGTTGTAAACATCTTAGATTTTGGAAGCCTTATTGTCATAGATAGCATAACCATTCATCTCTACTGTTGTCTCATGAAAACGACCACAGATGACAATGTAAATGAACTACCATCAGTGTTCTAATAAACCTTTATTTTGAGAGAAAGGTGGCAGTGTGCATTTGGCCTACAGGAAACAGGCTGGCAATCTCTACTCAAAAGAAATTAAAATAGGGAGTAATTTATGCAGAGTATGTATTGTTAGTATGTGTGAAAAAGCTAAATTAAAATAACGTAAGAGTTTTCTTTTTCCTTTCCATTATTTGTTACATATAGAATACTTCCTAAATTTTCTTTTATGTTTCATATGCAACCTTACCAGACTGGGTTTTTACTTTTCTGTTTTTTAGAAAAAATCTTCTAGAGGAAGTACTCAAGGAACTGGTCATTCTTTTGATATCCAAGTGTTAACACAATTGGTAAGTATTTTAAAATCTACTTAATTTGAAATAAATTATTTCAGGGCTGGAGAGGTAGCCCAGCAATTGAAAGTGCTGACTGCTCTTGCAGTGGACCCAGGTTGATTTTCCAGCACCCACAATGGCAGCTAGGAACCGTTCTTAACTCCAGCTCCAGGAAAATCTGATGCTCTCTTCTGACTTCCGTGGCATTGCATGACACAGTGCACTCACATATGTGTAGGCAGTATACTTATACACATAAAATTAAAAAAAAAATTATTTCATAGAATGTAATGAAAAAATTTAAATTAGAAAATTTTTAAAAATGTAGAAATACAAGAAACTACATAAAATATCCAATTATTCCCAAGAAGCATTACTCTGATAAGATCTTTTTGAGCCTCTTAAGTCAAGGCTATTAAAACAGCATATAGGTAATAATTTTAAAAGCATAGCCTCACATTCACATGTTTGCATACATGTGTTCACATATTTTGAGCTGTTGATTTTGTAAGTAAGGTAATGATTCTTAGCAACTTAAGATGTGTGTGTAGATGTGCCAAGAGGTGTCACATACTTAATTAGAAGTAGATGTATATACAACCCTCATTTAATTTGATGAAAATCTCCGAAGTACTAATTACCAGGTTTCATATTTCTATATGATTGCTTTAAATTATTCATCCCTTTGGAAATTTAAAGTAGGTATATTGAAGAAAAAAGTAAAATCACTATTTCTAATGCATTTCATTTTAGTACTACCTGCATTAACCTAGATATCAGACCATGTGTATAGGAAACTGTTCAGTATTATTCTAGACTTTGAATATGGGAAATCCTACCAGAACTTTCAGTTCTTCAACTAAATAAAAAAATAAAATGTGATTTGGCTCTCAAGGATGCTTTACTATTTTTCTCTGTGTTTCAGGCATTGCTACGTTGGCATAGAATTTAAGTTTCTTAACATTATTCCTAGTGCTTTTTCACAATACCCTGATAGTGCTTTTTTGTCTTTTTGTTTTCTACTTTAGTTTGGAATTAGAAGTGTCCTTTATTTTAAGGCCCACTGTTCCTTTATCTACATGACTCCTTGCTAGCTAGACTTACTTCTTGGTTTATTAAATAATTTGATTAAAATATTTTAGTAATTAAAATTACTATTAGGAACTATGCAGGATTATGCGAATATAGAGGAGTAGAAGATAATATCATAAAAATAGTCTGTATTAATAATCGTAAATACTGTTTAGTATAATATATTTTTTTGTGTATCATTCCACTGGTTCCTCAACTGGAATTTTTCAAGTCAGTAGTCAGTAAGCGTTTGATGTTCTCAATGATCCTTTCTTTGCAGTATGGAGCTTATCTTTTATTTCTTCCCCATTCCACTGTAAAGCCTTGCTACAGTATTTTACCTAGTATTGTATCTAGTGTAGTATAACTTTTAATTGGGTATGGATTCTTCCCCAAAGTAATTCTTTCTATGAAAACCTTTATTTTGTTGTTTGTTATTTGGAATACCTTCCATATTGCTATTTATTCTGTATATAATTTTAGTTTTCCTTTTTGAACTACAGCTTACATTCATCTACTTACATTAATTTTTTAGAAAGAATTTTGTTATACAAATACCTGATACTGATTTTATTAACTTTCCTTGCTAAAATACCTTGTCTTATATTGACTAGTCGAAAAGTTTAATTCTAAGACTCCTCAGAATATCAGTCTTTCTTTCCTTTTCTCCTTTTTAAAAATATTTTAGAAATGTATTTTATTTTAATTTTTTATATGTATGAGTGCAATGCCTGCATGCAGGTAGGTGCACCTGTGTCATGCAGTGCCAGGGGAGATCAGAAGAGGGCATTGGATCCCCTGGAACTGGAGTTATAGATGGTTGTTAGCCACCATGTGGGTGCTCAGAATTGAATCCAGGTCCTTTCTGCAAAGAGCAGCCAGTGTTCTTAACCGCTGAGCCCATCTCTCCAGCCTCTTCTTCTTTTTTGAGACAGGAAGCTCTGGCTAGCCTAGAACTAACCATGTAGTCCAGGCTGACTTCATACTCACAGAGAGCTGCCTGTCTCTACCTCCTGAGTGCTGGGATTAAAGGTGTGTGCCACCTCCCTGGCCCATCAGTATAGTTTTTCATTCTTATTTTCTAACTTACTCTAGATATTTGCTTGTAGTATCTTTAAAACCTTGTATACGTCCAGAACTCATGTCTTGCCAGTGTCATCTTTATCCTGTTGCCCATAGTCAAAATCCTACCGGTCCATTTAAGATCTAGCCCCAAGTTATTAATAACAAAAATAAAAGCTAAAAAGAGGACAGTAAGTTGGGAGAGAAGTAGTAGTAGATGGATATAATCAGTATACATTGCAAATGTATGGAACTTTCAAAGAATAAAAAATATTTTTTAAAAACAGTCTTACCCCCAATGCCAGTACTTCTGTCAGGGTTCATTTGGTCACCAAAGCTAGAGGAGGGAGCTTTCTTTGTCCAAAACTTTTTATCATTATCACAAAAATTCCTTCTCATAAACAAGTTAGGTTCTCAAAGGATGTTTGTAAGCCAGGTTCTATTCAAGTCTAGATAGCAGAATAATTTGCATTTGTAGAACCCAGCCAAGTTTTTCTGGAAAGACAAATCTGTCCTTATAGTCTTTAAAAATCTTCCTTTATGTGTATGTATGTATAGTATTTTATATTCAGGGTAGTCTGTTTTGGAAAACAGTATCCAAATATTGTGTGTGTGTGTGTGTGTGTGTGTGTGTGTGTGTGTGTGTGTGTGTATTATAGTGTGTTTGTGATAAAAGATGCATTTAAAATTTTATATTACATATTTAAAAATAGATTTTTTTTAAATAGAGTAGTTTCATCTATAGTAAAGACTTGTGAGTGAATGAGGAAAGTGTATTACTCTACCTTCCCATATCTTATCTGCACAGAGTTCACTGCAAGAGTCACAGGAAGCTTATTCCAAATGTAGGATCAGCATAATCACCTTGCTGCTTCATTTGAGGACATTTTTTTTCTTTTTCAATGTATATTTTTATTGAATTTTTGTGCATTTCATACAGTACATTTTAATCTTGTTTGGAACCCTCCCCTATTTGGAAACACCCCCCCCATAGCACACCCACAGGATTTCATGTAGTCTGTCATATATGTTAAGGCCTATCAAGTCAAGTTTGTGTATCCATATGTCCCTCAGTGTGAGTTCATCTACTGGAGCCTGTTCAGCTTATCTAGTGTCACTCGCTTAAAAAAGATCAACTGTCTCTCACCCAGCAGTGACCAGCTACCAGCTGCCAATAGTTCCTCAGCTAAGGTCGGGGCCTCCTACCCATTTCCCCAGCTCTATGCTGGTTATTGTCTGATTGAATTTGCTTGGGTCTTGTGTATTTTGTCACCATTGCTGTAAGTACATATGAGCAAGTTCCCAGAAACCTGGAAGACTGTTTCCTTATGGTCATGTACCTGGCTCTTAAAATCTTTCTGCCTCCTCTTCTGCAATGAATGGCAAACATTTTTTGAATGAACCCAAGACCTTAAAAGCTATTTGGTCTTTGGCGAGTTGTTTTTTTTTCTTACAAGTCCTTCACCATGATTAAGAGTTAATTCCTAAAAATAGCTTAAAATAGCTTTTTGTGGCAATTACATTAGACGTTGACTAATCTGCTTTTTTGTGTAGCTATGTATTCTAATTCTTTCTATTCATCATTTTGCCTTGATTACATAGGCTTATAGGCACATAACACTTTTCATAAGTTTTATTTTTCAAGAGTGGGCCTTATTGTTGAATTACATATTCTACGTGGCTTTCTTGTGACTGGTTTTTGTTGGTGCTGCTTTGTGATTCCCAGGATTTCATTTCCATCATGATGATAGGCTTTTAAAAGTAGAACTCCAGTGCTGTCCATGTTCTGCCACTTCAAACAACCAGGTTAAGATGTCCGAGACATCTGGGAAGAAGCATTATTGATGCACCATAGACTCAAGAAGATGAAAACAATCAGGTTATCCATTTGAAATCATTAATGCCATTTTCCTCTGACAGTTACAGCTGATGTTAGGTTGTTGCATCTGGAAAGTACAGCATTATTTTTAGCATATAAAAGTTCTGCATCCCTATTCCCTATTGGCAATTTGGGTAACCTCTTCAGAGGATGGTGTGATAAGAATAGGAGGAAGGAATTGGCTAGGCAGTTAGGGTAAAAATACCCCAAAGAAAAGTAGCCAGTTTCTTGGCTAAAAGCCAAAATGTCCTTGGGCCTCTTAGCAACATACTTTGTAAACACAGGCCAAAAATGTGAAAAGTATTTGGGAACTTGTATCTAATCCTTAAAAGATTTTAGGGTTACCTCTTCAGAGGGGGAGGAATGTTAGAGTAGCCAAAAGCCCCATAAAAATAAATAAATCAAAGAAGGAAAAAAAAATGAAAGTATATCAATAAATGTGAGTTTATGTATTGATTCTAATTTTCCCATTTTTATCATGTCCTAATTTGTATACTTTATGCATTTCCTGTATTGCATACCTTGTATCTCCTACTATTTCATGTCTTTATGCATATTTTCATCTTCATAGTTTTGAGTAATCTGCAAATAAGTAGTTTTAGAAAATATACTGAATAAGTATTGCATTTTATTTTTTATTTATTTTAATGTGTATGAGTATATTGCCTGCATACATGTAAGTGGACCCGTGTCATACAATGCCCATAGAGGTCAGAAGAGGGTGTCAGTTACCCTGGAACTGGGGTTACGGGTGGCTGTTAGCTGCCATGTGAGTGCTGGGAATGGAACCTGGGTCCTCTGCCTACTGTTCCTAACTGCTGCACCATCTCTCCAGTCCCAAGTATTGTATTTTAAATGGTCATGATAGTGAAAAAACATTTATATATAGTTAGGTTCTGTCTTTATTCAGAATGCTCAGAAAATAATGTGTATCTTATCAAGAGAAGTATGAAGGACTTGTTTAAATAACTTAAAGAAAAAATGATTAAGTGCATAGCCAAAAAAAAAATCCTACCTTTTCCATAAAAGGGCTACATAATGGTTAAATTTTCTATAGCGAATAAAGAGCTAAAACAGATTTCATCTTTCAGCTCCTGAATTCAGACCACAGATCCACAGCCACAGTCCAGATCTGCAGTGGTTCTGTGAACCTTAAGGGTGATGTGAAATGCAGAGCTTATATTCACAGCAACAGACCAAAGGTTAAAGATGCTGTGCAGGTAAAAAAGTAATAAGTGGCCTATGAAAAAAAAAATCAAAGCAAATTAGCATAATTATAAGTTCTAAAAAATTATTTTCTTTCTATCTCAATTTTGTAATTACTGATTTGATTTTCGTTGATAAAGGACCAGTCTGTTCCAAGATATTCCAAGGTCAACTGTTTTGTACTTCTTTTAACGTTATGATTATACATGTTTAATAAGTATTTCGCACTTATATCTGTTAATACCTTTGAAATAATTTCTTTTGATGAAGGTCAGTTTTTTAAAACAGGCTAAGTATTCATAGAATTATTGAATAATGCTTCAGAAAAAAAATGATGGCTGGCTTTTATGTTATAATACATTTCCTAGTTTGGAATACTGAGAAGATTTACTTAGTTTGCAAAATGTAATTCTTTCATTTGTCTTTAATTTACTCTTTAAATGTAGGCTCAGCAAATTTGTTATTAAACAACAATTGTGTTAATGAACAATCTAAATAGATGAAAATAGCAAATGGAGTGGACATTATTTAGTGGACATGCTTATTCTGGGAAGCAAATGCTGTCTTGTTTGTAATTGACTAATTCAAATCTAAAGTATTTTCTTTCTTGCTGTTTTGCCTGTTTTCCCCACAGGCAATAAAGAGAGATATTCTGAACACAGTTGCTGATCGTTGTGAAATACTGTTTGAGGATCTGCTTTTGAATGAAACTCCAGAAAAAAAAGTTATGAGTTAAAAATAAGTACTTTTCTGTATTTGTTCAGGTTGATTCAGTAAGATGCTAAGATTTAATATATGTCATCTTCTGTAGAATGTTTTATAACAATAAGTCATCTTTTCCCTTCATTGCTGAATGAAATTTTTTCCAGTTTTCTCTCCCCTACCATTTTGTTTTGAACACTAATAGCAAATCTTTCAACATGTAACAATTTCAAGGAGTTGTTTTAAAATTTTGATTCTGAATTTCTTCTGCCAGAATGAGCAATATCAGCAGTTTAAACTTAATTTTTTTTTAAAGGTACTGTTTATATACTCTTAGTTTTATACTTCTCAGCTGTTTCTCTAACTGACTTAATTACATTTAAGAAATGGCTGAATACCATCTTTAGGGAAACATAAGCAATTTATACCACCTTAGTAATTTATATTAAAAATAACTTTTACTCAAAAAAATTGCATTGAGTATGCCTTTTGAAACTGTACCCCCCCCATATCCCTATTTGTACCCATACTATTGTGATGTGAGAGGATTTTTGGTTCATATTTGGATGTGAACATAAATAAAACATATATACATATTAGCTCATTAAGGGAATATTTTTGTGTTAATTGAAAACTTTTGGGTTCTTCTTTATGATTAATTTCTTTTAGTACTACCAGAAGTCAGTATATTAGGTTTGATGGTCTAATCATAACCGTTTCTATATCTCTAATATGTTAGATAGGTCTTTGGACCAGGGTAGTGGAAGGATTATGTAATTTGATAGGAAGAGCAAGGATTTTGAAGTCCTTGAGTACTGAATTAGTTTACCTTTTGTCACTACTACAAAATACCTGAGGTCGACTACTTAAAAGAAAAAGAAACTTATTTATCTCCATCAGCTGTTTGTATTCTGCTGATGACATAATAATTACAGGATACTAAAGACAAGCTTAGTGGTAGAGCACTTGAGGGCCGTGGTAACCCCAGAGCCATAAAAAACAAAATAAA